TGCTTCTCCATGCGGCGGACTGCTGCATGCTGCTGCTGAACCAGCTGATGAACATTGGTCTCAGTGGGCTTGCTGGCAGCCTCCAGGCTGGCCGCCACATCAGCATAGTATTTACCCCTCGTAGCGTCTCCCGCCTTGTACGACAGGGAGGCCATATGCTTAGCCTCTTCGGCAGAAAGAGCAGGAACGGGTCCAGCGGGGAGCGGCGGGGCACTCCCACCCTTCCCTGCTGACTGCAGCTGACCTCCTGGGGTCGAGCCATGCCACTCGAACCGAAATGCATCGTTGAAACCCTTGCCTTTGCCCTTGCCGTAGCCCTTGCCAGCAGTCCCTTCTTTGCGCCCCGAGGCAGTGCCAAACCACCCAGGCGGTCTGGACCAGTAGGACTGAGCACGAGGGCCAGGGCGATCAGGAGTAACTGGAACTTGGGGAAGCGTGCCATTACAGTTTTTGCACCACTTCGCCGAGGGAGCGTTCTTGCGACAACCACACCCTGGGCACTTGCTGGGCGACTTGTAGTTGTTTTGCCACTTGCCACTGCCCTTGACCTGCCACTCCCCCTCACCGTCATCACCCTCAGATGCTTGCACCCACGGGTTATTCGTGAAACGAGAGGAAGTAGGAGCCATCGAGGATGTGGGCAGGGAAAGTGACAATTCGATAGCCTGAACGTGATGTGAAATGTACCTGGCGGGCGAACGCCACGGAAAGCGGACGGGGGCCGCGCAATCCCCCCTGCCAAACCTCAAATCCTTGAGCAACCGCTACGGACTTGAGTCAAAATGGCTACGGAGCTGCTCCCTCCTCCTCCTCCTCCTCCTCCTCCTCCTCCTCCTCCTCCTCCTCCTCCTCCTCCTCCCTCCTCCTCCTCCTCCTCCTCCTCCTCCCCCCATCCTCCTCCTCCTCCTCCTCCTCCTCCTCCTCCTCCTCCTCCTCCTCCTCCTCCTCCTCCTCCTCCTCCTCCTCCTCCTCCTCCTCCATCTTCCTCCTCCTCTCTCCTCCGCCTCCTCCTCCTCTTCCTGCTCCTCCTGCTCCTCCCTCTACCTCCTCTCCTCCTCCTCCTTCCCTCCTGCTCCTCCTGCTGCCTCCTCCTCCTCCTCCTCCCCTCCTCCTCCTCCCCTCCTCTCCTCCTCCTCTCTCCTCCTCCTCCTCCTCCTCCTGCTCCTCCTCCCCCTCCCCCCCCATCCTCCTCCCTCCTCCTCCTCCTCCTCCTCCTCCTCTCCTCCTCCTCCTCCTCTCTCCTCCTCCTCCTCCATCCTTCTCCTCCCCTCCTCCTCCTCCTCCTCCTCCTCCTCCTCCTCCTGCTCCTCCTGCTCCTCCTCGCTCCTCCTCCTCCCTCCTCCTCCTCCTCCTCCTCCTCTCTCCTCCTCCTCCTCCTCCTCCTCCTCCTCCTCTCCCCTCCCTCCTCTCCCTCCCCCTCCTCCCGCGCTGCTGGGCGCTTGCAGGAACTGCGGCCGATCGGGGGTCCCCCGTGCTCCCCTGTGACCCCCACGTGGCCCCCCGTGGCCCTCCTCTGACCCCTGTGGCCTGCGGCCCCCTAAGACCCCCCTGTGGCCCCTACGACGCCCTGTGGCCCCTAAGACCCCCCTGTGGCCCTCCCTGACCCATGTGGCCCCCTATGGCCCCCTGTGGCCCCCCTGTAGCCCCTACGACGCCCTGTGGCCCCCCTGTGGCCCCCCATGAGGCCCTCTGCGACCCCCGCAGAGGGGCGCTCCACGACCCGCGCCCGCCCGCCTTTGAGATCACCCGCGCGCTGCGCAGGCTGCCAAAGCCTCGTCCCAGTCGCATGCTCATCCAAGGCTGACCTGGTCTCTCTGGGCCTTCCTGGGGCCCTCTTCTTCGGGCGCCTCGGGGGGTCGCTTGGAGCGTGCTGGGGCCGTCAAGGTATTTCGTGAGCGTCCTTCAGGCTGCCAGGATCTATGTCACTTGGACCCCTCACGCTGCTCGCCCATTTCTCGCGCGCGCTGCATGTGCTTCGGATCGAAGGACAGGGATGCTCGGAGTTCACCACCACATCTCGCTGGGCAGCGGCAGGACTCACTGCAACTGCTCGACATTCCCGCTCGTGCTGACCCCGGCGCTGTACCCTCCGCATGTCCTACCCTCCGCACTTCCTCCCATCCCAGCCCTCCCGCTACTCTCCTTCATTCGTCTTCTCCCCCTCCTCCCCCTACTCTCCGTCTTCCTCCTCCTCCTCCTCCTCCTCCTCCTCCTCCTCCTCCTCCTCCTCCTCTCTCCTCCCCATTCCCCGCAACTGCTCCTCCTCCTCCTCCTCCTCCTCCTCCTCCTCCTCCTCCTCCTCCTCCTCCTCCTCCCTACTCCCTCATCCATCCTCCTTCCTCCCTCTATCGCCCTCGCTCCCTCCAACTACCCTCTTTTTCTTCTTCTTCTTATTCTTATTATTCTTCTTATTCTTCTTCTTATTAGTATTACTATTCTTATTATTATTAGTATTCTTATTATTATTCTTATTATTATTCTTCTTATTTGTCTTCTTATTCTTATTAGTATTAATATTATTATTAATAATATTAATAATATTATTATTATCATTATTATTATTACTATTAATATTATTATTATTATTATTAGTATTATCATTATTATTATTATTAGTATTATTATTGTTATTATTATTAGTATTATTATTATGTTGATTATTCTTCATATTGGTATTATGATTAATATTATTTGTTTATTATTGCTCCTCGTCCACCTCCTCCACCGGCTCCTCCTCTAATCTCCGTCTTCTGATCTTCCTGTCCTCCTCGATGCCCTGCTGTTCCGCCTCCTCTTTGACTTCATCCTACTTCCCCTCCTCCTGGTCGGGCCTCCTAAAACTGAAACAGTCCTTCCCCCCCCCTTCAACTTCGCCAGGACCCCCTCCCTCTCCCCACCCCCTCCGTGGAGGCCCCTGCGCCCCGGGCCCCGATTACCTCAAAGCATCCCGGGACCAATCAGAACCCTCGGGCCTCCTCGGGCCTTCGGACGACACTCCCATGGAAGCGCCAAGGACACCCTGAGACCCCCCAGATCACCCGAACGCCCTCCTCCTCCAACTCCAACTCCTCCTCCTCCTCCTCCTCCTCCTCCTCCTCCTCCTCCTCCTCCTCCTCCTCCTCCTCTTTCTCCTCCGTTTTCCTCCTCCTCCTCCTCCTCCTCCTCCTCCTCCTCCAACTTCCTCCTCCACGCCCTCCTCCTCCTCCTCCTTCTCCTCCTCCGATCTTCCTGCGTATCCTCCTCCTCCTCCTCCTCCTCCTCCTCCTCCTCCTCCTCCTCCTCCTCCCTCCTTCCCTCTTTCCTCGTCTCCCCATCACCATGACCCTCCCGCCTCCGTCCGCCCGCTTCTGTGTCCCCCCTCCCTCCTCCTTTTCCTGGTTCCTCCTCCCGCACCCTCCCCCGTCCCCTCTCCCGCTACCTCCTCCTCCTCCTCTCCTCCTCCTCCTCCTCCTCCTCCTCCTCCTCCTCCTCCCCTCCTCCTCCTCCTCCTCCCTCCTCCTCCTCCTCCTCCTCCTCCTCCTCCTCCTCCTTCTCTCTCCTCCTCCTCCTCTTCCTCCTCATCCTCCTCCTCCTCCTTCGCATCCGTATCCTCCTCCTCCTCCTCCTCCTCCTCCTCCTCCTCCTCCTCCAAGCTGCCAGCTAGGCTGGAGCCCCTCGCTCCCCGCCAGCCCGCGCCATCGGAGCCCCCGCTCCGCCCCCTCCCTCCCGCACCCTCCCCTCGCGGCGCCATGTCCGGAACGGGCGCGGCGGCGGCGGCGGTGCGGCGCCCTCGCAGGCCAAACCGGACGGCGGCCGAGCGGAGGGCCCAGTACCGCAGGGCCGAGGGTCGCACGGTGCAGCGCCTCCTCGCCGCCTTCGAGGAGCTGCGCGGCAATCGCGGCGCCGAGCCGACGCGCCTTGGCGCGGCGCTCGCGGCCGCGCTCGCGCCTGCGCCCGCGGCGGGCCCTGAGGAGGCTGGATGCGCTCCTGGCGGCGGCGATGCAGCTGCTGCGAGCGATGGCGGCCCACGCGCGCTCGCAGCCGCCCCCCCCTCTTTCTGGGCCTCACGGTCGTGACGACGGGGAGCGAGCTGACGGCGGGGCCGCCTCGGGCGCCTCCGAGAGGCCCTTGGAGGTGCCGCAGGCGCCAGAAAAGGCGGTGGCGGAGGCGTCGGTCGAGGCCACAGCGACGAGGGGGATGCAGGCTGGGCGTGACAGTGCAGCCCAGAGCTGGGCATCCAGCGCGGAGCGGGAGAGGCTCCTCGGCGACGTCGACGTGCTGCGGGGCGGCGCGCCGAGGCGCGATTTCGGGCCCCCACGGGGGATGACTGCCCTGCAGGGAGGCGCTGCTGGGCAGGATTCGCAGGCAACGGGAGCGACGGGGCAGACGATCGACTGGAGCACGCGCACGTCTGTCCCAGGCGCGACCCCAGCGGACTGCCCGCAGAGCTGATCCCACTGGCCTTTTCTGGCGAAGAAGCAGCGTCGCATACCCACGGAGGCCTCTAGAGAAGAGGGAGGCGCGTACCTGGGGAGCGGCCGCCGCAAACCCTGGGAGGCCCCTAGAGAAGTGGGGGGCGAGTACCAGGGGAGTGACAAGAGCTGCTCACAGTGGGCACTGTATGGACATTTTGTTGTTGTGGTGCTCACTTATCTTGTGTTCAATTTTCGAAGTGATTTCGCTCATCCCCATGCTTCTTGTGGAGGAGCATGAAAAGTCGTGCATTTCTGAGATCTGGCGTACACTTGCTTTCTTGTGCGGCTCTTGGTCAGACGTTGTGCATTTCTGTAATAAGGTGAACACGTGTTTTGTGGCCATGGTCTTTCACTTTCAGACAGTTGGTGCTCAGCTTCTCGCGTCCTGGTTCTTCTCGCAGGGAAGAAGAGCTTTTTGCCCGTGTCGATCATTGAGGCTACGCCTTGGCAGAATCCCTAGAATCCCTAGAATCCCTCCTCCTCCTCCTCCTCCTCCTCCTCCTCCTCCTCCTCATCCTCCTCCCGCCCAAGAGAGGAGCCCCCGGCCTCCCGGGAGGCCTCCGGGTTCTGCATCCTGTACGACCACGGCAGCGCGGCGGCCTCCTCTCGCGCCTGCCGCCGCCGTCTGCGTCGTGGTGGTCGTGGTCGCCGTGGTCGTCGCTGCTCGTCGTGGTCGTCGTGGTCGAGGTGGCCGCAGTCGCAACTACGTCGTGGGCGTGCTCCTGGTGGTGGTCGCCGTGGTCGTGGTCGTGGTCGTGGGCGTGGTCGTGCTCGTCGTATAGTCGTGGTCGTGATGGGAGGTCGGGGGGGGGAGGCCGGCAGGCAGGCAGGGAGGCAGGCAGGGAGGGAGGCGGGGAGGGCAGGCGGCAAGGCAAGGGCAGGGAGGGAGGCAGGGCGGCAGGGAGGGAGAGGACGCGGAGGAGCTCGCCGTGCCCTGTGGCCTCTGGCGTTGCCCTGGGCGCGCCAAGCTCGTGCCCGTGCCCCTCCCTGCCTACCCCCCACTCCCTTCCACTCCTCCCCTCCCTGGCCCCCTTTCCACCCCCCCCCCCCCCCCTCCACCCCCCCCCCCCCTTCCCCCCCCCCCCTTTCCCCCCCCCCCCCCCCCTTCCCCCCCCCCCCCCCTTCCCCCCCTCGCCTATCTCGCTACCCAGCGCCCCCGACGCCATGACTTTCTCATGGCGTCGACCCTGAGAGGTCCAGAGGCCCCGTCCCCCAGAACCCGCGTTTCTCATCCAGGGTCGTTCTTGGAACGGCCCCGAGGGCCAGCAAGGGCCTCCAGAGGCCGAGCATGCGGAAAAACCTCCCGCCGTGATTGCTTCGTTGCCCGAGGGGGTCTGGGTACGCTTAGGTCGGGCGTGTCCTCCTACAGGCGGACTTTGGATGATCAAGCACATCCCCAACTAGTCCAAACATGATCGACCCACGAGCCCGGAAAGGAATACATAAATGTAACGCGTGGCAGCGTTTTTGAAGACACCTGATTGGGTGACGGGCAAATGCAATGCTGAGTGTATCGATCTGGATGTACCGTGCCGAAGTCTGTGCTGTGCTGCACCGTGCTGAATTGCGATGTGCCATGCCGCGATTGTGCTCTATAGCGTCGTGGATCGAGTCCTCCTTTGCATCCGAGTCCTGACCGAATTGATCTGGATCTTAAGCTCGAGCTGCCTGAACACATAATAGCTGCCCCAGAGCTAATTGACAGGGGGACATGCCAGGAGGACGCGCCGCGGAACGTCTCAAGGGACGCGCCAAGCGACGTGCCAGGGGACGTCCCATGGGGACGCACCGCGGGACGTGCCAAGGGGACGCGCTACAGAACGTGCTGGGGACAAGCGCTTCGCTCGAGACATCCTGCGAACATCCTCATGCTAGACATCCGCCTGAGCGACCTGGACACGTGAAAACAAGCGTTTCGCTCAACACATCCTCACCACATTCTCATGCTAGACATCCGCCTGGGCAAACTGGACACGTGAAAACAAGTGGTTCGCTCGAAACATCTTCAACACATGTTCATGTGAGACGTCTGCCTGGGCGACCTGGACAAGTGAAAACAAGTGTATCTCTCGAACCATTCTCAACACATCCTCATGCTAGGCATCCGCTTGGGCGATCTGGACACGTGCAAACAAGCATCTCGCTCGAGACATCCTCAACACATCCTCATGCTAGACATCCGCCTGGGCGACGAGGACGCGTGAAACCAAGCGTCTCGTTCGAGACATCCTCAACAGATCCTGGCGCTAGACCTTTCCCTGGGCAACCTGGAGGCGTGAAACCAAGCGCCGCGCTAGAGACATGCTCAAAACCTGGGCACGTGAAAACAATCATTTCACTTGAAAGATCCTCTGAATCCTGGCCCCCAGGAGAGGACAATCTATAACACAAAACAAGCGCTTCGCTCGAGACATCCTCAACAAATTCTGAAAACACACAAGCGTTTCGCTCGAGACATCCTCAAAAATAATTCCGCCGGCCCTAGGCGACCTCGTTATTTATCACAAAATAATCCTGCCGGCCCTACAGCCGTCGGAACCCGGGGGTAAACACACTAAAAGACAACCCTGGGCCCCCGCACTTTCCGGGAAAATGCTAAAACAAATCGTCCCCAGACATTATGTTTTGCCTATTTTTGAATGTTCCTCCTGTAGATGGACATGCCTGGTTTAAGGGCACGCGGTCTCCTCCCCATCCCCGTCATCCCTCCTCCCGTTCTTCTCCTCCGCCGTGTCTCGCCCTTTGCCTCCTACCCGCCCATGCGCGCGCCCCTTGCCAGCGGAATTCACGAGGAAGCGTCGTGAGTACGGCAGGTTCGTGTCGTGCCGACTTCGGCGTTGGCTTCTGACCCCGCGGGGATCGTTCAACCTTGAACGATCGGCCGTTTCCGAAACGTCCAAATCGTTACACATGGAAAGATTCTGGGTCGCCCGCGGCGTTCAACGCTGGACGCCGCTGGCGGGGTCGCCGCCGGTCGACACGGCACGAACCTGCCGCACTTGGATCGTCTCCCCAGGTCCCCGGGGGCCAGGCGAGGGCCCCTACATGCCGAAAACGGGCAGACGCCTCCCGTCGTGACTCTTTCGTTTTGCCATTCGGGCGCGCGCAGATGTCTGGGCTGGCACCGGGGGGGGGGGGAAGGGGCCCTGGGACACGCAAGTATATGTATATACATATATTTATACACGCACAAATGATAACAATTTCCCCCATCTGTTCCACTTTTTTGTTAGATTTCTGTCTCCCCCCCCCACTTTCAATACTTTCGCATTCTTCCTGGCTGTGTGCTGTTCGTCCCCCTCGTGCAGGGGCGCGGCTCCGCGGGCCGGCCGCTGCAGCGCCCGCCTGGCCGAGGTCCACCCGCTCCACCGGCACCTCCACGCGCGTGCTCGGCGGCACCTGCGGGCGGCGAAGGGCCGGGCGAAGGCGCGCAGGAGGGGGGCAGGCCAGGAGGGGAAAAGGCACACACCCACACAGGTCATCGTCGATCCTCAGGAGAACATGGGAAAAGATGGGAAGCGGGGGGGAAGACAAACCCCGAAACTATGGGAGAATATCGGGGAATCCGGTGATTTGTGCATATTGGTTGGTATGGCCTCGGGCACCTTCAGTAGGGAGAGAGGGGGAAGGCTTCTTAGAAGGAGGCTGCTTCTTAGAAGGCACGGGCCTTACATCTGCAGCGAAAGGGCCCGCGCCCTCTAAGAAGCAGGGGGGTGCTTCGAAGAAACCCTCCCCCCCCACACCCCTCAACCCCCCTTCTGCGCGTGGCTGAGACGGGGTGTAGTGCCAGCGGGAGAAGTCGACGGAGGCTTGCCAGATGGGCTCGGGGCAGATGGGGTCGGATCATCGCGCCGCATCGCCGATGCATCGCCGATGATTCAGCGATGCACTGGCGACGCCAGCGATGCATTGGCGACGCTGGTGTGGAGAAACTGGGGCCCCGCACCAGGCCGCATCGCCGACATATCGGCGATGCGGCGCGATCCTCCAACCCCACATGCAGTCAACCCATCTGAAAAGAACCACGATAAGGATGCAAGGGCTTCCTTGGGAAGCTATGTCGACACTTTGAGAACGGGGCACGGCAACCAAAAGCGGCCAAGGATGGGCCGAGGAGGAAGTATGTAAGGGCAACCTTGGGAAGTTGCTCATCCTTGCTATGCGGGCCGACTGTTCTCTGATATCACCTGGGAGGCTTAAACTCTAACAGGTGTACTCAGCAGGTGCATGGATGTCTGGAGCGTCCGTCGGGTTCACGCATGGGAATGTGGCCTGCGAGTTGGCGGACGCGGAAGGTTGCCCCCGAACGCGCGGTGGAATCCCAGACCCCCGACGTCATGATTTTTGCCACAACGTCGACCCTCCAAGGTCTCGACCATCCCTCAGAACTGGTTTTTCATCCTGAACCGTTATTTGACAGTCCCGAGGCCTGGCAAGGGCTTCCCGAGGCCGACTATATGGAAAAACCTCTTGTCATGACTTTTTCATTGCCCGAGGGTGATCTGGAATGGCGCGCCCCCCCCCGAACTGGGAAATGCCCCCACTCCCCAACTATGAGCCGAGGGAACACGCCAATTCGCCCCCAACGGGGGGGGGTGATCGCCACCTCCTCGAGGATCGACGACACCTCAGCCGCAGGAGCGCCAATTTTGAGACAACGGCGACGTTCCCTGGAGCGGTTCTCGTCCACGTTGGGCCTCCTGGAGGCTTCTCGTCGCCACGGCTGGATCCGCTTCGACATGATCGACCCACGAACCCGGAAAGGAATATAGAAATGTAAGACATGGCAACGTTTCAAAGACACCGGATTGGGCGACGGGCAAATGCCATGCTGAATGTATCGATTTTGATGTACCGTGCCGAGGGCTGTGCTGTGCTGCGCCGTGCTGATGCTGAACTGCGATGTGCCATGCCGCGATTGAGCTCTATAGCGTTGTGGATCGAGTCCTCCTTTGCACCCGAGTCCTGACCGAACTGATCTGGATCTTAAGCTCGAGCTGCCTCAGCACATAGTAGCTGCCCCAGAGCTGGTTGACAGGGGAACATGCCAGGAGGACGCGCCGCGGAACGTCCCAAGGAACGGGCCAGGCGACGTGCCAAGGGGACGTGCCAGAGGGGACGCGCTACGGAAAGTGCCAATGGACGTGCCAATGGACGTGCCAGGAGACGCGCCGCGCGACGTGCCAGGGGGACTCGCCACAGGACGCGCCACGGAACGTGCCAGGTTGCAGCGCTGAGTGTATCGATCTTGATGTACCGTGCCGAGGCCTGTGCTGTGCTGCGCTGTGCTGAACTGCGATGTGCCATGCCGCGGTTGTGCTCTATAGCGTTGTGGATCGAGTCCTCCTTTGCACCCGAGTCCTGACCGAACTGATTTGGATCTTAAGCTCGAGCTGCCTCAGCACATAGTAGCTGCCCCAGAGCTGGTTGACAGGGGGACATGCCAGGAGGACGCGCCGCGGAACGTCCCAAGGGACGCGCCAGGCGACGTGCCAGGGGCCGTACCACGGGGACGCACCGCGGGACGTGCCGAGGGGACGCGCTACGGAGCGTGCCAATGGACGTGCACCGCGCGACGTGCCAGGGGGACTCGCCACGGGACGCTCCTCGGAACGTGCCAGGCAACATGCCAGACTGCAATGCTAGGGGTATCGATATTGATGTACCGTGCCGAGGGCTGTGCTGTGCCTGGGCGACCTGGACACGTGAAAACAAGTGTATCTCTCGAAACATTGTCAGCACATCCTCATGCTAGGCATCCGCTTGGGCAACCTGGACACGTGCAAACAAGCATCTCGATCGAGACTTCCTCAACACATCCTCATGCTAGACATCCGCTTGGGCGACCTGGAAACGTAAAAACAAGCCTCTGGTTCGAGACATCCTCAACAAATCCTCATGCTAGACATCTGTCTGGGCAACCTGGAGGCGTGAAACCAAGCGTCTCGCTCGAGACATCCTCAAGACCTGGGCACGTGAAAACAAGCACTTCACTTAAGAGATCCTCTGAATTCAGGTCCCCAGGAGAGGACAATCTATAACACAAAACAAGCGTTTCGCTCGAGACGTCCTCAACAAGTTCTGAAAAACAAGCGTTTCGCTAGGGACATCCTGACATTTTAATTCGCCGGCCCTCTTCCCATTCGTTATTTATCGCAAAAGAAATCAGCCGGCCCTCTTCCCGTCAGACCCGGGGGTAAACCCACTAAAAGAGAACCCTGGGCCGGCGCCCTTTCCGGGAAAAAACGGGTCCGGATGGGGTTCTCGTCCATGTTGGGCCTCATGGAGGCTTCTCGTCGCCACCGCCTCGAAAAACGGGTCCGGATGGAACCCAGGACGGGTCCAGGGACAGCTTTTTTCCCAACCATCATGTGGTGTTGGGTCCTCGTTTTGAAGAGACGGTGCCCCGCGTTTCTCCTCCTCCTCGCCCTCCTCCCCCTCCTTGCCTCTGCTCTCGGCACACCTCTCACGCGTTTCGTAGCCCCATAGGGAGCTCCACCGAAGGCCCCAGTGGGGGTGTCCACATGCGGTTCCCCCACCCAGGGCAGCGTTTCGTAGCCCCATAGGGAGCTCCACCGAAGGCCCCAGTGGGGGTGTCCACATGCGGTTCCCCCACCCAGGGCAGCGTTTCGTGGCCCCATAGGGAGCTCCACCGAAGGCCCCAGTGGGGGTGTCACATGCGGTTCCCCCACCCAGGGCAGCGTTTCGTAGCCCCATAGGGAGCTCCACCGAAGGCCCCAGTGGGGGTGTCCACATGCGGTTCCCCCACCCAGGGCAGCGTTTCCCCCAGAGGGAGCTCCACCGAAGGCCCCAGTGGGGGTGTCCACATGCGGTTCCCCCACCCAGGGCAGCGTTTCGTAGCCCCAGAGGGAGCTCCACCGAAGGCCCCAGTGGGGGTGTCCACATGCGGTTCCCCCACCCAGGGCAGCGTTTCGTAGCCCCAGAGGGAGCTCCACCGAAGGCCCCAGTGGGGGTGTCCACATGCGGTTCCCCCACCCAGGGCAGCGTTTCGTGGCCCCATAGGGAGCTCCACCGAAGGCCCCAGTGGGGGTGTCCACATGCGGTTCCCCCACCCAGGGCAGCGTTTCGTGGCCCCATAGGGAGCTCCACCGAAGGCCCCAGTGGGGGTGTCCACATGCGGTTCCCCACCGGCAGCGTTTCGTAGCCCCATAGGGAGCTCCACCGAAGGCCCCAGTGGGGGTGTCCACATGCGGTTCCCCCACCCAGGGCAGCGTTTCGTAGCCCCAGAGGGAGCTCCACCGAAGGCCCCAGTGGGGGTGTCCACATGCGGTTCCCCCACCCAGGGCAGCGTTTCGTAGCCCCAGAGGGAGCTCCACCGAAGGCCCCAGTGGGGGTGTCCACATGCGGTTCCCCCACCCAGGGCAGCGTTTCGTAGCCCCAGAGGGAGCTCCACCGAAGGCCCCAGTGGGGGTGTCCACATGCGGTTCCCCCACCCAGGGCAGCGTTTCGTAGCCCCAGAGGGAGCTCCACCGAAGGCCCCAGTGGGGGTGTCCACATGCGGTTCCCCCACCCAGGGCAGCGTTTCGTGGCCCCATAGGGAGCTCCACCGAAGGCCCCAGTGGGGGTGTCCACATGCGGTTCCCCCACCCAGGGCAGCGTTTCGTGGCCCCATAGGGAGCTCCACCGAAGGCCCCAGTGGGGGTGTCCACATGCGGTTCCCCCACCCAGGGCAGCGTTTCGTAGCCCCAGAGGGAGCTCCACCGAAGGCCCCAGTGGGGGTGTCCACATGCGGTTCCCCCACCCAGGGCAGCGTTTCGTAGCCCCAGAGGGAGCTCCACCGAAGGCCCCAGTGGGGGTGTCCACATGCGGTTCCCCCACCCAGGGCAGCGTTTCGTAGCCCCAGAGGGAGCTCCACCGAAGGCCCCAGTGGGGGTGTCCACATGCGGTTCCCCCACCCAGGGCAGCGTTTCGTAGCCCCATAGGGAGCTCCACATGCGGTTCCCCCACCCAGGGCAGCGTTTCGTAGCCCCATAGGGAGCTCCACCGAAGGCCCCAGTGGGGGTGTCCACATGCGGTTCCCCCACCCAGGGCAGCGTTTCGTAGCCCCATAGGGAGCTCCACCGAAGGCCCCAGTGGGGGTGTCCACATGCGGTTCCCCCACCCAGGGCAGCGTTTCGTAGCCCCATAGGGAGCTCCACCGTAGGGCCCCAGTGGGGCTGCCCTCGTGCGGTTCCCCCACCCAGGGCAGCGTTTCGTAGCCCCAGAGGGAGCTCCACCGTAGGCCCCAGTGGGGGTGCCCGCATGCGGTTCCCCCACCAAGGGCAGCGTTTCGTGGCCCCACAGGGAGCTTCACCGAAGGCCCCAGTGGGGCTGCCTGCATGCGGTTCCCCCACCCAGGGCAGCGTTTCGTAGCCCCATAGGGAGCTCCACCGAAGGCC